CCTTTTTTGTGAAGTTTTTGAAACGTGAGTTTTTTTGGGATTCTTCTTGTTGATGCTAAATGTTGTGCATATTTCAATCTAAGTTATAACTTTTGAAGTATCATTAGTCAATACTTAATATTATAAAGATGAAAGATTTGTATTTTTGTATGTATTCGATTCACGTAAAAACTACTGGTCCGATTTTGAAAATTCTTTCATCGTTAGAAAGGCAATTTATCTGTGAGTAACATAGGCTTTTTTATTTTTGATATCATGCGGGCGAAGTCGCGAGCAAAAGCTAGTCAATATTAGCCAACTCACGAAACTTAATTAGTAATGATGAATATGTAAACGTTTTATAGCCCCTATTTACTTTTATTGTTTACTATTATTATGTTTTTTTTATTAGCTACTGGAATTAAATGTAATCCTAAATTGTAATTCAGTGTAACTTCTGCCGTGTATAGTGTAGTTGTTAAGATAGAAGATAAACAGGTGTTCAATAAACATCGCGGCACGACATTAAAGGTCAAACGATATTCTGAATAACAATTAGTCGTATTACAAGTTGAAGACGAGTCTAGAATTCCATTTATATTGACATCTTATTTATACATTATCGACCGATAATCAAAATTGACAAACGTTTGTCAAATAGTTGGTCAATGGTTTGATGTTTGTTAGAATTTGTAGTTTAAAGTACTGAACGTATCTTGATGATTCGGCATAGACATAGAGGAGACAGGATCAAATAGGATACTGTTTTGTTCTTTTAATTTCACGCGGTCGTAATCCCGAGGGGAAGCTAGTCTTACTCTTATCATAAATGCGAAAGTTTGTATAGTTGGATGTTTGTTAGAGTTTGTAGCCTAAACTGCTGATTGGATCTTGATGAAATTTAGCAAAGATGTAGAGGATAGTCTGGAAGAATATAGACGACTTTTGTTTTTTTAATTCCACGCGGTAGGATTCCCAGGCGATGTTTTATGTTTAACACTTTAGTACGTTGTAAGTTATAACTTATTTTTACTTATACAAGTAAAGAGTTGGTAACAACGGATCTCCGCTTCAGATAGTTCATTCAATGTATTGTTTATTCTGGCTTACTTTGATTGCAACCTTATTCTTGCAACGGCAATCTTTTTAATTTAATTCTTGTCCAAGAACAAGCAAACTCTATAATAGGTTAAAATATCCGAATCAGCTTGTATATTGGAGATTCTATACATGCGAAATAGTTAGTTATTTGTTTTTTTATTATTTTATTTGGTGGTTACTTAATTTAATGGACTTGTAATTCAAATACGTTTTGGACGACAGTGTTTTAAATAGATTTTTGCGTAGGTTTACATCATTATTCATAAACATACATGGTACATAATACGACTAGTAATTGCGCAAAGATGTGTTCAAGTAGCGTACGCTCTTGGCCATGAAACATGACGACTTTTGAGCAATTTGTCAAAGTCGAATGTTGCTGCGTCATGTTGAAAGATGTTAAGATTATTATATTTGAATATGTTCTTAAAATTATTTTAATAATAAAGATTTAACAAGCCTTTGTCTGTTGATATAATGGCCAGGATTATCAATATGTGAAGAGTTAATAAAATAATTTACTAAAATCATCTAACAGAGTCTTGAAATTTTGCGCAAATTTTTGTCACTACGTAGGCGAACAATAGATCTAAAATTATATCTTTATCAATTACAAATAATTATGTATCCATTTGGATGAATTTACGACCTTTGTCTATACCATTTTATAAAGTTTACCTTTGGCAGAATTCACAATGTATTTAAACAATCCACGTAATACTTATAAACATGAATAGTGCGTACTCAATAAACCTTATAGATTACCTCATATCACGTGTTTCGAATAAAAAAAACGAACTAAGCAGTGTTAAATCGGTGTAACGTTTGTGTCACGCGCGTGTCGACACCTAGTGTTGTACCAGCCTTGGCTCCGTTAACGTCAATAGTGATGGGCTAATGACCGTATAATTTTATCGTATTCAATGAAAGAATAAGAAAGGAAAGATTTATTAAATAATTAATTCTTCTTTTAAATGTTATAGGTTATGAAATAATGTTAATAACCTAATCTTATCTTAGAGCAGATTATGTACTTAATGCATGCATTTATAAAATTTGATTATGGACTTGACAAACATAACATAATATATGTGTGAAGGTAACTAACACTTAGTGGGCCAGCGTGGTTGACTAAGACCTAGTCACCCCTTTGGGAATACTCTGAAACCCTTCAGTGGGGACGTATAGCTGATGACACTTTGTATTTTCTATTAGTGATGTTCTTATTGTCTGTTTTTGGTTTATGAGCGTGAAAACACATCACTAGTTTCAGTTTTTTGATAATGAACTTCAATATTGAATAAGCATGAATATTAACATTGTAGATGCTTCATGACGCGTAACCGCTAGGTCCTTGACAGCCGACTTTACAGTTCTCTTGTCTTATTTTTTTTTATAAACTCGGCTAGAACATATGTTTTATGCTAGTTACTCTAACAATTTGAAAGTCGTGTTTTGTTTTGTTTTATTTTTAATGCTTTCTTTTGTTATTTTGACAATTTTGACGAGATTTTGTTCTCATCTAAAGTAGATTATTAGATTTTACTAATGTAATTTGTTTTTCGTCCTTACATAACTTGTATTTGTTTATTATAAGCCGAGTTGCCCTTCCTTGTCATTGCGTGTGTTTGCTTTGATCTTGAAGTATTTGCATAATCCACATACCACATGCCGTGTGGTTGCGACACATTATGTACAGAACCTCGTCACATATTGACTGAATTTCTAACCGGCTCTATAAGCTAAAATCATAACTTCCTTGATATCAATGACACTAATCGTATTTGAAATTATTCAATAGCGTGAGAGTAAAAATTATATAGTTTAGTACCGCGAATGGCACAGTTAGAGCGGGCGCACTTCTTTGACTAAACTATTGTGCGATTGTCGATTGTTTCGCAGCCAAATCAACTGTTTAATTGGACAACTAAAAATCGAATAATACGCGCACCTCCATATAACTTTATAAAAATCAAACTAGACTAAATAGTTGTGCGATCTTTTAGTTTCAGGTAAGCGTATGCTCTTTGTGTATACATTACAAGGCAATAAAGCCTCGCTTGAATCAGGTCAAGTGCAGATTAACACCCCTTTGTGTTATCGACTTGTGGATGTTTTATTACATGTAAAATATACAAACTGATTTAGAATGTCAAATTCTATTTTATTATACTTTTTCATCTTAGTTTTTTCTGTTACAATGCTATTATTATATTTGTTGATGAACAAGGTTGTATTAACACGTTCACTGCATAACAGGCCGATATCGGCCTGCCGCGGTACTTAAGTTGGTACGGACGAAGAAAACTATGTCTTATGGCTAGTGTGAACGATTATCTCAGGGGTTAACATTACATAAAATGAATACATTACGTTTTCACAATTGTTACAGCAATTTAATCTATTCTAGTGTTGGCGGACCTAGAAAGACCTGCCACGCACTGTCGGATTATGGGGGCGCATTTTGGCCCGCCGCACCATATGAAGAATTATTTTAATTGTAGTAAATGTGTTTATAAGTAAAATTACTACAACTGTTAATTAATATTTGCTGATTTTATAGCGCAAATGAGTAAATAAGTTAGCTACATATAAGTGACATGTCCGCACCTGTCATGTTAGAAAATCAATCAATATGAAATTACGTAAGTCTGTGAGGTTGGACAAGATAAGGCGTCGGCGAAAGCTGTTTTCTCCGCGCTAATGCTGCGACTCGAAAGTCATTATTTGTTTTTTACATTCGCTCCTCACTGTGATTACAGTACTTTTGAATGGTGCTGTGTTTGTGTACGAGTTAAAAAATGTAATATTCGTCCGCGTGAAATTAGAAAAAAATACAAGATAGCCTATGTTACTCACAGATTAATTACCTTTCTAATGGTGAAAGAATTTTTGAAATCGGCCCAGTAGTGTTTGGGTTATGTCAACACATACAAAAAAAATATTTCCTCTGATATTACTATAGAAGTATAGATTTATTAACTTAAATACTTAGTTACAACTTAAACTTAAATACTTACTTAGTTAAATTTATTCAGTATAATTTCAGATTTAAAAATGTTGTCTTTGGTTTTATTGTAAGTAATTAAATATTGTCATATGTAAATTAAACACTACTTAAAATAAATCTCTACTAATATTATAAAGAGGAAAGATTTGTATTGTTGTATGTATTAACATAATCCAAACACTATTAAGCGATTTTAGAATTTTTTCTCACCGATTGAAAGGTAATTTATCTGTGAGCAACATTGGAAATATTCATGTAATTTTTTTAATTTCAAGCGGATGAAGTCGCGAACAACAGCTAGTATAATGTAAATGGAACTACAGTTATTTTATAAATTAATATCTTTAGAAACTGTAAAAGGTTTATAACAATAATTAAACAAAGATATAAGCCCTTATGTGAGTATCATGTCGTTTCTGAATTCCTAGCAACAGGAAATCTCTTGAGCGATTACAAGAACGTGGATACAAGAAGTGTTTAATGTGATGTTATACAATTTCCTATAGCACTTAGGGACTTAAAACATTTGCCTGAACTAAATACTAACTTACGTTACGGTAGCTAACATTTTTCTTACAAATGTTGTATGCATTTTTTAGTTCCCATGAGCAAAACTTATAATTATTCCAACTCTGTACTTAGCGGTTTATTTCGGTTGAGAGTAAATATTATGATGTATGTATGGATGGATGTTTGTTAGAGTTTGTAGCCTAAACGGCTGAACGGATTTAGATAAAATTTGGCATAGATGTAGAGTATAGTCTGGAAGAACACATAGGCTACTTACTTCAGTTTTTTTAATTTCCACGCGGACGGAATCGCGGGCGAAAGCTAGTTTTTTTTATAAATGTGTATTTCAAGTATTGGGATAAATAACGTGTTTTAATGTATTTTTCTGTTTTATTTGCAGATATTGAAGTGATCTACAAAGCAGAGAGAAGTAACGGAAGTTTGAAAAATACTAGAATGCAAGAATTGTTTAATTTCTACAAAGACAACTTTTATGACTGTAAAATAAACTAAAACTACTCGGGTGTTTCATTTACCTTTTATCCTTTTTAATTATGTATTACTTTAAATAATATTCCTTGAAAATAAACGCAATTTAACTACACTACTAACGATATATTTGAAAGAGGAAATTCCACCTACAGAGTTAACTACGTAATTTTAACTGAACAGTAGAACTGTACAATTTAACTGGAAACTTTACAGTTCGACGGTTAAATCAAAACTGATGGTGTATAGCGTAAGATCTAATATTATTAACTTTAATATTTGAATCATTAATATTTGTAAATAAAACGGAAATGGTGCAAAAACGGAATGCAATTAATTATCTTCGAACTTTGAGATGGTCAAAACCGGCCCAGTATGTATGTATGTAGGTCGTTCGCGTAATGGAGATGAGACCTACATGAAAACGTTAGCTTGGATTAAGTAATATTACTTCATTGGTTACTTAAAAGGAGAGTATACCATAAAAATTTCAAACTGTAGAAATCTATCAATTTTGGCGGGAAAGTGGATTTTCATTCGTTTCATAAGGAATATCGACTAAAGTAAGTGAAAGGAAGGTTGTTTTTTTAATCAGTTGCGTAAAGTTTACATCAAAAACTAACTGAATATAAAAACTAAGTAATCGTTTATCTTGTTTTATATTTTATTTCAATGGAAATAAATTAATTTCACAGACATTTATAAATTACGTTAATCCGTCATTTAGATAAAAACAAATTGATGTACACGATAGATGAATAAAAATAAATATATTCGAGCTCAATGGTACAGAAATCAATTTAATTAAATATTCCATAATTAAACATTAAATTGATTTGTATAAAGATTTAATACAGCGCCATCTGTCGTAACTAAAATAAAGATTAACTATGTTTTTATAAACCACTAGCTTACCCCTACGAGTAAAAAGAGTCATACTAATAATAAATGCAAAAGTTTAAATGGATGTTTGTTAGAGTTTGTAGCCTAAAATACTGAACAGATTTTGATGAAATTTGGTATAGATGTAGAGGATAGTCTGGAGGAACACTCAGGTTACTTGCATTTCCGCGCGGATGGAGTCGCGGGAGAAAGCTAGTATAAAATGCAAAGAAAATTAAATAAAAAGAAAACAACCTATGTGTTCCAGACTTTGCTGTACATTTATGCCAAATTTCATCAAGCTTCAGCCGTTTAGGGGTAAACAAATCTATCGGTCTAAACTTTAGAATTTATGATTTTAGTATTGTTCAACTTAAATACAATGCCAAAAGCAAAATATATTTTTAAATTTAAACTTGATGAAGAAAAAAAGCCTAATTAATCCTTATTCAATATGCTTGTATTAATGTCAAGGCATCGGATGCAATAGAACAATGGCCTAATAACATTAATAGCACTTGTATGCAAATCATGCAATCAAAATTACAATATATGGATAAATTCTTTATTACTTACATATTATTTTCAATTGAAAAAATAGCAATTATAAATAATAAAATTTTATTTTATTGCTAACACAAAGCAACCACATTCATTAGTTACAAAACTGGCGCTTAGTGTTTCATTCAATCTACGCTAAGTTGCTCTGTAAGTGATCATTTAACGACTGTGCGTGTGTCACTAACTTATGGATGGTTTCCCAGCTACTTTTAACCATCCGTAAGTGGTTTTGGTTCGAGAACTTCGTAAAATACGTTTTCGAACTACGCAACGTTTTACTCTGTTGAAGTATAAATCAACCTAACACTAATGAATCACTGGGTATGTAATGGGAACTTCAGAAACCTAGCATAAGTCGTTTTACGGTCAAATGTGGAAAGGATATTTAAATATGTAATAGAGTCTTAAAAGATAAGACCATGATTAAATTCAAAATTCCATTAAAATTTTATCATCCGTCAAATTGTAAGCGGCGCTTATAAAGCGAAATATTTGAAATTCGTTTCAATATTCGGCCGATAATGAGTTTATTAATTCATGGAACGAGATTCAATCATTCATGATATATTTGGTCTTGTATTTAAGTAGACCGGGGTCTTACTTGAATATTTTAAAGTTCTCACTTAAACGGAATTAGTTACCATAACTAAGATCTGACTATTTACGGAGAGCAATCAAGTATATTCAGTGAGTACAATTTGGTTATAAAGCCTTGAGTTATATAACATGTTTCATTACTGTTATGTATTGCGTGTATGTATAACAACATAGAAGAAACAGTGCGAGATTATTCGTAATTATGTGAATAGCTTGCTAATTGGTCCGCCATTAAAAAAACGTAAGAAAAAAGTAACCTATGCGTTTATCTAGACTATGTTCTACATATGTGCCAAATTCCATCGAGATCTGTTAAGCCGTTATGGAGATATTTAGTAAGAATAATCCATACTTTACTAAAGTATGAATATGAAGTATAAAATGATTGTTTTGTATGAAAGTTTAATTATTATTTTAATGATTTTCCTAATTCCGATTTCATGTTACTTTGAAAGTAAAGTCAAAATGAAAAAACTTACATCGATAAACGATTTATATAGCTTAGTAATTTCTATAAAAGCTGCAAATATTTACAGAAGACTTGTTTTTTAATTATATTTCTTGTCATCATCATCATCAGCTCACTATACGTCCTCATCGAGGGGCTCGGAGCCTACCCTAAGTAAGGGTGACTAGGCCATAGTCAACCACGCTGGCCCATTGCGGGTTGGTTGACTTCACACATATCTTTGAATTTCTTCGCCGATATGTGCAGGCATCACGATGTTTTCCTTCACCGTAAGAATGTCGGGTAAATTATGTAAAAAATCGAAAATCACATTGGTACATGGCGGGACTCGAACCCAAGACCTGTAGATTACAAGTCAAGTGTCTACGATATTTCTTGCAATTTCCCTAAAATGACCGCATCTTGTTACGTATTGCAATTACTGAAGTCGGTTTGTGTGTTAACGATGCGTTTGGCAGCGGCCGACCGTGAACAATTGTCGGTGATGTGCATTGCACAATTATAATTAATTGGTTCATATAATCCTACTGTAATACGGCTCAATTACTCTAAACCACAATACTGCAATACTACAATTGTGCTGGTAAACTAAATGACTACTAATTACCCGCGACTCCGCCCACGCATCATCCACTTGCCCTTATCCCTTATGGAGGGTCGGCACAGTATGTGCTGCTCTTCCATACATCTCTATCAGCCGTCATATCTGAATCCACTCCTTTCTTAAGCATATCCTCTTTCACACAATCCATCCATACTTTCTTCGGTCTTCCTCTTCCTTTGTAGCCATCCACATTCAATCTTAACACTTTCTGGTTTATGTCCCCATCATTTCGTCGCATAACATGTCCATACCACGCTAACCTTTTGCTTCTCAATTTCTCCACCACTGGCGCTACTTTCAAACTTCCTCTAATGTACACATTCTTAACTTTATCCATTCTTGTCACACCACACATCCATCATCCATCTTCCAAACTATAAACATATGCCAAATTTCAAATTTAGGGGACATGTGACATACATTCATGTTTGTTTACTAGTTGTTACTTGCGACTTCATTCGTGAAATTTAAAAATCTAACCTATGTTACGCAGCGATAAAGTAGCTTTCAAAAGATGAAATAATTTCGAAATCAGCCCAGTAGTTTTTGAGTTACATACAAAAATACAAATCTTTCCTCTTTACAATATTAGTATAGATGTAGGCAACTGACAACGCAGTATTACGTCATACGGGTGTGGAAGTGTGACTTAAATCAGGATGTTTTGAAATTACTAATATAAATGCGTCGGTTTGTGAGTATGAATGTATAAAGGAATCTTCTAAACTATCAAACAAATCTCCATTAAAAATGGCATAGATGTATAGCTTTATATAAAAGAACACATAAGCAACCTTTACGCAAGAAGAGTCGCGGACGACGACTAATTTATACTATTATAATAAAGCGTAAACACACACTTCTTTGTTACCTAAGATGTCAGCAATTACAGCATATTTTCGAATAATTCTTTTTTAATAAAAAGCTCGACACTTACGTCATGCTTTAGGCTATATATTTTACGCCATTAAACTTAGGGGATAAATATTTTGGATAAAAACCCTCATGTGGGAAAGAGACCATAAGTTGCTGCCTACATCAAGAAAGAAAGATTGCTAAGGTTTGTCATGTCATGTCATTTTGACATTTGTCATTGATAATTTGACAAATGTAAACAATAAAATAAAGTTTTTATAATTTCACGCGGATGAATCCGCACGCGAACAGCTAGTGTTTAATACAAGTCATATGTCGAAATATTATTAAGATGGGTTTTCTAAGTATCCTTGAAGGTCTTTACTAAAATTAGTTGGTTATTATGACGTAATATAAAATTATAGTTCCGTAGTGATCATATCTAGTCAGGTTAATATACAATGGACATACGCTCAACCGGTTACTATAAAAGGATTGGACATAGCTATGTTCACAAGAATGTGTTATCTAAATTAAGATGCAGAGGAATTCGAGGCATAAAGATTCAGATTATATCTGATGCTAGTATGTTTACTAAGTTTTAAGTATGCATTAAAATGTACATAAACTAGATCTTACTAATATTATAAATGCGAAAGTTTAAATGGATGGATGTTTGTTAGAGTTTGTAGCCTAAACTGCTGAACAGATCTCAATGAAATTTGGCATAGATGTAGAGTACAGTCTGGAAGAACACGTAGGCTACTTATTTTTTTAATTCAACGCGGACGGAGTCGCGGGCGAAAGCTAGTATAAAGATACTTTTTGGACTGTACATCTCATAACTCATTTTTAAACATAAGAATTCGCCTATTTTACAATGTATCCAAAATATATACAAAAACAATTACTATCAAAATAAACAGGAATAATAACTGTTTCGAACGATGGAAACGCACGGTTTTCTTAATGTTTTAGTCATTGGTTAAACCTTCAATACAATTTGATATCAGGGAGATACGAGAACATATTCTTAACGTTATCGACAATATTAAATGAGG